ATTGTTTATTCGGACAGATTTAAATTCAGTCTGTTCCAGTCAGGACCTCTCTCTATATCTCTCTTGATTATCTATCTATCTATCTCATCAGTTGCGCTGTGTACAAGCAACTGCAATAAATGGCATTGCTCTTGAAATGTTGGCGTCTAGTTATTTTCTTCTCTGATTCTGATTAGGGGTGTTCCAGGTGACAAGGTGGTGGTGTGTAGTTTTGGTGTTTTGGGAGTACTGATAGATATGTTGTTTATGATTGTCTGACATAATGTTGTGTAGTAAGTAATTTCTCCCACCTTTGTAATGAAACAGCCCTGGTCAGATTTAAAGAGATCTGGAACAGATGCGGACCAATTTTCTGGCAGATTGCCCACGGGTACCTCCCTACATTAGTAAGACATTCAAACCTAGCTGTATATTCATCAGACAGCCCCTGCACCCCATCCACTTCTATCCAAGAAACAAATTTTGTGGCTGTTTTTGGACACTCCTGGAAGTACAAATGTGTTATGTGAGCTGTTTGCTATATGAGAGCCATCTGTTGTGGCTTCAATTATAAGAAAAAACGGTAAATCTACAGCATTGGGGATTTATGATCATGGAAATGAGGGAAAGAAGCATCAGAAGTTTCCGCCTGTAGGCCAAAACATATCGGAACAATTTTTTATCACAGTAAGATAATGAATATTACATCATCGTAATTCTGTAATTGCTTCTAGTAGTTAGTAGACTTCTTTATAATACTAAATTTTAATTACTTATAAAATAAACAACAATAAGTCATCTCTTAGTGAATGAAGTGACTGGTTGTAGGTAGCATGGACTGGAATTCATTTCTGATAGCGGCAGGATTTCCCCTTTTGCCACCATGTATGGGGGGTGGGTCTGCCTAGCCTCGGCTCCCATGTACTGGATACTTGGTGCTCTTTTCCTGGCTGGAGCATGAAGCTAGAGCGTGGTAGAGGCATGATCACACCTCTTTCTGGTGTCAAGGTTAATGCGTGTGGCTTTACTTCCCCATATGTCTTCAGAGAGTGGTACTCTTCAGCAGGTTCAGCTTTATCTATTTGTGAAATATAACATGGAGGACATGTGTTCCCAAGTAGCATTGTAGTGTGTCACAGAACTTCTTATGTCTTTCCACAGGGAACACTGATGTGGGTGTTTCATTACTGGTAATGTTACTGTAGGTATTCAGTGTTTTGTGTCGCATGTCAGATACTGTACTGTACTGAGCAGTTGCCAAAAGCCACTCACTTCACTGCTTAATAGCAAATGAATGACAAGACTGTACTGCGTTCACACATCTTAAGCTTTCTGCAGCTAGATTGCTAAAAGTGTTATTTGTAGAAAGGCAGTTGTTGGATGAATCGCTCCCAAATGCTGTGTAGATTGGACAGTTGTTTTCAAGTTTTATTTAAATGTTCACATGATCTAACCCATGAATTTCTCTGAAGTCTTAGAGCGCTTTCACATGAGCTCTCATGAACTGGCTCACTAGAGCCGCAGCTCCAAGAAGGACATTGTTCTCGGTGTTGCTTTTCACACGCATCATCTGGCTCCACAGAGCCGGCACATGTGAGCGGCCACCCGGCTCTTCTAGCTTGCAGCCAGCTCGAGCGTACTGCTGGTGGGGCATGCAGTCTTATTGAGCCTTTCAGATGAGTGCATGTGAACTCGGCAGCTAGCAATGTCACTGCCATTCTCTCCACAGCGGGAATACATCTCATGTTGGTGTCTCTCTGATGGAATGAAAACCTCAAACTGTTGTGTAATTCATCGAAAGATATGGACATTCTGCAGTAATTAAAAAAGTTTCTTTCATCCTCCCGTAGCTTATGAAACAATATAAAAGCACCCTTCTTCTGATCTCAAGCTAATTATAGGGTGAACCCATAATGTTCGATTACTTTCCCTTTTCTTTTTTTTTATTAATTGCTAGGATTAATAAAATTGCAGCCTCTTCTGGTTCAAGCATGACTACACTGAATTGCTGTCATGCTTTTGGTGTCTGCAGTGGCTCACATGAGCAACTTTTGGGAATAGGCAGCTAGCTTAGCAGCTCCTGTGCACTGGTTCACGAGAGCTCGTGTGAAAGCGCTCTTATTGTTTCCTCAAGGAAGTACAATGCTTCATGAAAAGGATTTTTCTTTAATAGATATTATAGTGTTGAAGTTGTTGAATTATATCGTTACTTAAAATGTTGGCCACCAGAAAAAAAAAGAAGTTATTCTTCTTACATAATGCGGCAGATTCTTGTGAGGTGCACCTGAATATTCAGAAAATGGAATATTCTGAAGGATGCAAGAATGGGTTACTTTGTTACTGTGCCAGACACACTGATTGTCCCTTGGAGTCAGGGGGTTAGAATTCCAAGAGAACATCAGGCTGTCATTTTCTTAACATGTCATTGTCCTCTGTGCTTCTTCGTGGGGGAATATCATGATACATACGTTGTAAATGTTTTTAGATTTCTCAAAATTTGAACAGTCATTCCACTAGTTTCATGGTAAATACATCTAGGGTTTGAAATTTTCACAGATTGGTTCTAAGCAATTGAAAAAAAAAAATGTGAGATTTTAGGTTCTCATGGCTGTTAACTGAAGAGTACTGTTTTCTGTGATTACACACTGTGTAGTCTGGTAAATAGTTACCAAGGTTTAGGAGGAACATCCTGTCTCTATCTTCAAGATGAGTATTCTTCTACCCTGAAGATGGTGCCACCATATTAGTCTGAAATGGTGGCATCTGCCGACCAGATTATATGGTTTCATGTCCTGAAAAACACATTACATTCAACAAAAATGCTTCCCCTAAATTTAAATCCCATCACTATATGGCATTTGTGATTGTAAATAGACACACTTTAAAGTTAGTGTGCAGCAACATTTATTTTATCAAAGGTAATTTTGTCTCTTGGGAGTTTCATCCATGTCCTGTGGAGTTAAGTGCTGAAAAGAAACCTGCCTGATGACTTGAAAGTGTCACTAAAATTCGGGACCAGAATAGGATGTAATTTAGCTGTATTTGAAAGGACCAAATACAATTGAAAAGGGTATGAAATCTATAAAGCCTTCAAGGCTAACACCAAAATTTGTATATATATCCATTAGCAAGGCTTTCACAAATCCCAGAGGATGCAGAACATATTGAAAGGCTGGAATCATCTATATTTATATTAGACTGTGTTTTAACAGGGTGTTCTGGTTTTCAGTACAGAATTATTACAGAAATTTGTGCAAGGTACCGCTTAGTTGGAATATGAGACAAAATGCTACAGAGATTTATTGCTGTTCATGATGTTTTAAAATATCAGTATATACATAAACAGCCTGTGCCAGCTGTGTTTCCAATTTGAAAGTCTTGCCAGGGCACACGTTCTAAAATCATATTTCAAAGCAGAATGATTGATGTTTCGCGTGCTACATGGTGATGCATTCTAATATCGAGTTAGGTGTATAGATGATCCAAAATATTGAGTTAAAAGGGATATACAAGGCCTGTTTGAAGGTACTAGCCTGACATTTGCTTGGAAAAACTGAGGAAAACCACAAGATCTTCAGTTGGGATAAACTACTGCTCTAGCCAAGATTCAATCACAGACAAAATATGCAGTCCTATAGCAGTAAGGTTATGCCATTCATTGCCAATTTTATACTAAGCACTTTTCTTGTATTTTGTTTTGACAGGTGTGTTTTAAATGCACTTTCAGACAATCAAATGCCAGTTCCATGCTTCCATGGGCCAGGATATTCCTTCAGCAACTAATAGTTTTTCAACCAGTTCAGAAATCCCTTGTATGGAAAGGGGAAAACCACGCTATGATCATGAAAGACCACTAATGTGTCTTGTTTTTTGGTGGTTAAATATTGTTTCTGTGAGATCTAGAATTAGCCAAGATAGGTCAGTGGCTAAACTGACTGGCTGTGATCTTGATGACAGGGGTTAGATTCCCAGCAAGGTAGGGATTTTTCTCTTTATCACAACACTTACATAGGCTGTGGAGCCCGTCCTTCTGTCCAGTAGGTTTTGGACTCGCTGAAGATATAAAGTTGTCAGTAAGAAGCTCACCATTCATCATCTTGTGCATCCCATGCATTACATGCATTACCTTCAGCTCACCTGCAGAGAACTTTATGGCATGTTGCTTCAGATGGGCATTTAAGATGCATTCCTACATCTCTATTTAGAGATGTCCCAGGTGGTATCTTCTGTGAGGTTTCCTAGCCAAATCTTTGTATGTATTTCTTGTTTTACCCTGCTTGTATGTTCTGCTTCATATCTTCTGTGCTGTCATGTTTATTTTTCAGTCTTGCTGATAACAAAGATGTATTCTTTGAGAACACTGAATTTATTATCATTGTAATTTTACAAATTAATAACAAGTTGTGCGAAGAGCTAATCACTTCCTCTCCTCTGATAGGACATGGACCACGTAGAAAATGATGCCTCCAACAATTATTCGTTGCCGCAGGAACATCTTTACTGAGTTGTTAACAACAATAGGATAATACACAGACAGACTCACAGAATGTGCCCAACAATTTTCTATAGTTGCATGTATTGGTTAATGCAGGAGTTGTTTTTGGAGCAGTTGTCTGCTGATGAAAGGAGGGATACGCTTTACCAGGCCGTTTCCTAGCAACAGTGGGAGGGATGCACATAGACACACAGACTGATGGGAGGGATTTATGAAGTATGCTGTTGAGATGAGCTCAGGTGCCATGACACACATTACCAAGTTTTATAAAGATTGGTTCAGGCATTCAGAAGTTGATATGAGGGATTCACAATGCTCAGACAGCATGGAGGTCATATAAGCCTACTTTTTTTTTTTTTTAAATAAGGAAAGTATACCATTTTTTTAAAATAAGGAAATCACATTTATTCTGTATTTCGCTAGTTTTAAAAATTGAATTTTTTCTCACAGCATAATATTAAAGTAATATAAGTTTAACAACTGAGACATTCTGATAAATGTCTTAGTGTAGAGTTTGGTATTTCAGGTTATGCAAAGTCAGCTGACTCAGTTCCAGCCAGTCTGTGGACAAGACAGAGGAGCAGCAATTCATCACCTGAATTAGATGGTCCCGGAAGGGAAGGGGTTGTTACAACCTTACTTCTGGGAAGTAATGGTGCATCTCCCCCATTTGTAAGAGCCCCGGCTGAGGACCGATCAAAGTACGAGAAGTTGATATATGACTTTGAAGACATTTCTTCTGATGATAGCCACGCCAGTCAACTGGAAGCTGGTAATATTTATTTTGTCACTATTAACATCACTGTTATAAACAAATTGATAGGTTAGTTTGGTCAACAGTTTAAACATTCAAGACTTACCATCAGAGTTAGTCTTTTCATCTTCCATATGATCTTCATTTAATAAAATTATCTAAGGCAGATGGACTCTGCAAGATGTTATGTTCCCTAACGGCTTTGTCAGTATGTTTCTCTACAGTGAATGTTCCATCTTTTTAGAGAATTTGTTATAAGAAAAGCAGGACTATTCCACGCATATATTCATCTCTACAATCATCAGAATGGTTAAAATCTAAATTTTTTTACACTCCATCTAATTTTTTCAGTTGTCAGGAAAATAATTTTGGCAGTAGAACATGCATGAAATTCCTTGTTATTTTACAAAGATTCTAAGAAAATGATACTTGAGACCTTGCTCTCATAGTTCAACAGAAATCCCAGAGGTGGCACATGTTTTACCTTGGTGAGATAACTCTTTCAAATCACATAAAGATGAAAACAGTGCAGAAGATAGCTTGTCAGTGTAAGTAAAGCATTAAAGCCAAGTTCAGCACAGAAACATTTGTCTGACTAAAATTTCTATAGCTTTCTTCTTTTCACACTCTGTAAAAATTGTGTATACACCTGTGACCTTATAGTCTGCTGGCTTGGAGTTTTGATAATATTCTTTTAGTTTAAAACCTTTTTATACAGAAAGTTTTGGAAATGTTGATGTGTGGAAGCTGCTCCACCCACCTACCCAATGTGGTGGAATTGTAGGAATAATCAGGTTTTGGGATTCAATCAGAGGACTCTCTGCTGCTGGCTGGGCTTGTTGACTGTGAGGCCGTGTGTTCAGTGGGGTAGAAGTATTAGTTCTGTGTGGATGTGTCAGATTTGAAAGAACTATATTGCTCATACAGTTCTTCTGCTGTGCTGTCAAATGAAAAGTGCATATTGTGAAAGCAATATGAACATTAAAAGTCACAAGTGATTTAACTAATAGGTATTGTTTTCCAAATGTATTTCATGGGGTTTTGTATACCTCGTTATTGTTCATGAATTGCAAATAAAAATCCAGCGTCACAATGCGAGTTAAATCATGTACAACATGCTGAGTAGACCGATCAATATGTTGATTGGCGATTCTTCAGTTATTTAGAAACATTTTCAGCCGTGTATGTTATATAGCATTAGAAAGATGACACTTGTGATTAGTGAATTGGATAGTATTTGGAAGGAAGCAGTAATTTACAATTTTGAGACACTGTCCTGGTGGATAGACACAGTTTTCTCATTGTGAATTTACTTTATCTACTTTGTGCAAAGAATGTATAAAGTGTAACAAGACAGTGCAAGGGGGGACCCAAAAATAACCGGAAACGACCTGTTGTGCGCGCATGCTTAGTAGTTACGAGTTGTGCTGCTAGGTGGTGTTAGCTGGTGGTCTCCCGCGACTGTTAGTGAGCTGGCGTCAGTCCGAGTTAAGTGGTTTGTCTGTGGTGCTCTGTTGTGTGCGTTCCTGTTCAACCCTTTGGCGATTAGTGAGATGGCCGACCAGAAGGAACAATTCTTTTAAGAAATTCTGGATTGTTCTGCACTTTACTCTTCAAGTCGCGGCAAACATTTACGCGGTTTTCTCTTTGGTCATCTCCGAGCAAGCGAGGAACAAATTTTGCAGACACCCGTCTCATGTGCAAACCTTCGGTTAAAATTCGCTGGACCGTGCTCCATGAGATGTTCGTTTCCTCAGAAAGTTGGTCAATGGTCTTTCGACGATCTTCATCAATTGCACGTTTGATTTTGGCAATGTTTTCGTCATTTCTTCCTGTCGAAGGACGCCCGGGGCGTGGCATGTCTTCTGTTGACATGTTGCCAGATTTGAAACGGGAAAACCACTCGTAGACCTGTGATTTCCCCAAAGCATCCCAACAGTCTCAGCTACAGTTTTCCCTAACAGAAAGCAAAATTTCACGCACACTCTTTGTTCCTTCTGGTCGGCCATCTCACTAATCGCCAAAGGGTTGAAACAGGAACGCACACAACAGAGCACCACAGACAAACCACTTAACTCAGACTGACGCCAGCTCACTAACAGTCGTGGGAGACCCCCAGCTAACACCACCTAGCAGCACAACTCGTAACTACAAAGCATGTGCGCGCAACAGGTCGTTTTCGGTTATTTTTGGGTCCCCCTTCGTACAATATGAGTATTCAGGTACTGTATGAGGGAAAAATATGTTTAGGCAACATTAAACTTTCTGTATATAGAAGGCTTTTAAATATATGACTTGTATGCAGGAGTCAGCCTGGTTCTGATTTCAGCGAGAATACCAGCTGCCATGAGTGATGTAGCTTTATTCAGCCCTTTCATGCAAATGCCAAGGTGCTGCCTTGAAATATATCTTAACCACTTCATGTCTTTTCCAGTTCACTGATTATAAGCACTGTCCATGTATATGTAACCTTTGTATTTGATATAGCATTATTACATAATATTTCATCCAGTGAGTAAATGGAAACATTTAAATCAGATTTAAATATTTGCAGATGAATCATCATTATTTATTAGGAACATGAAAATGCAAATTTTATTCACTATTTCATCTACAGATGACAACCGGGTGAAGAGAAAACGGCATCGAGTACGGACTAACTTGGCAGATAGGAAGGTCAAGAAAGATGTTGCCTCTACTAATCAAAATCCTGAACCAAAATATGGAGATCACTTATCTGATGACTCTATTGGTATGTTCCCTCTTTTAAAGCATAATCAAAAATAGATAATTATGTTAGCATTAAGTACCAGGCTGACTTGAATGATACAAGTCCTTTAGGGTTGAGTAATGATGTGTGATTTATTGTGAACGTAAGAAAAGTTTTTATGGTGTATGAAGTTGTAAATGATGATGTCAAGAATCCATAAATATTTAGAAAGCTTATGAGATGTAGTTTAACTGTGTAAAGGTTCCTGTGCTAGTGAATATGAAGATTACAGTCTTCTGAATTGCGATGCTGGGTACTGTATTGGATACACACAGTGTTTTGGAGTAACCTGCTGTTTTCGTGTAGAAGCTAAAATGTGGGGACAGTAAGCCTTCCAAAATGTTGGGCTTTCATCTATCATACTACATGGTATCAGATGCTAGAAGACAGGATTCACAATAAAAAGCATACACTTTACTGATGTGAAAAATCTAATGTCAGTGTGTGTATTATCTTGTGCTTCAGGGATTATCGGACTGCACTAAATTTTGTGAAGGCTGCAGCTTGGTGTGGGAAAACCTTAGGAATTTGATAGCAACCATGGGAGTAAAGCAGACATGTTGCATTCATTTTCATGTCATATAACAGCTTCATATCCAAGTCTCTTGCATAGATATTAATTTTTTGTAGCACCATTATCTGTATTTTATTTGCTTTAAGGTATTTCTAATTTCACATTTTTATCGTTGATAATTTGGGAGAAATTAAATTTTTAAAAAATGAGACCATTTTAATTAAATACTGTTGTGTAATTCATGCTCATATAAATCACGTACAATAAGGGTTGGCATTCAGGTATTTGAAACAGGGTTTGAACATAACCTGTAAACAACAAACAACAAAGAGAGATTTCACAGTATTTGGATAACCATAAGTTAAGTGTAAGTTATTGAGCCTAGTGGCCTCTGTAGTCTAGGGGTAACGTTCCCACCTCATGACTCAAGGTACGTGGGTTCAAACCCGGCGGAGGGAACAAGTCCTCCGGGAGGAACCTTAAGCTGTGTGTCCCGTGTCATAGATTTATGGCACGTAAAAGATCCCCATGTCTCTAGGAGACCTCTGAGCAAAATTAGGTAAAGTTTCCTGCCCAAGTAGTTTCCAATTCCTCCAGTAGACGGGGAAGTATCAGGGACCACTGCCAGAGAGGGCCGACCTCCCTGGCAGAACGGGGCTGATAGCGAGCACCAGTACTGGAAGGGCATGGCAACTAGTAGAATAATTAAAGGGGGACGCACAATAGATCAACAACTGGTCGCAGTGCATGGGGAAACCCACCCCGTCCAAAATAATAATAATAATAATAAGTTATTGAGCCTGGATAGCTGAGCCGCTTTAGTCACTAGTTAAGCCTGGATGACCATGATTTGATTCTTGGCAGAGGCAGGAATCAGCTGTGGACCCATCACGTCTGTCTAGTGGGAATTGGGAGACCTACCGGCAGAAGTAAAATGGCCAGGGTGTGACACTGACTTCTCACCTCCATCTGTTGCGTAACTTAAGACTGATCTTTACGTTGTGGCACTTACACTCTGAGACAGTTAATCATAAGTGAATAATTTGTTACTAGAAAATATTATATGCAAGGTGAAATTTGTAAATGAATGCTGATGATGCGTATTTTATGCAATCCACAGGATCAGCCAGTGACCTGCGGGCTATGAACGAAGATGAACCACAGGGTGAAGAGGAACATAGGAATGACCGTACTCTGGGGCTTCTTAATGATGAGACTATATCAGAGAGTATCATTACGTGTGGTTCTTCTGCTTACCATGCAGAATGTGAGAGCTTGGCAACCCATGATGATGATGTTGAGAGATGCTGTTACAAGGCTCCTGTGGGTAAACGAGATGCTACAGCCATCTGTCAGCAAACTGTTGTAAAGGACAAGGGCGACAGCAGTGATGGCCATGATCTTCTCTTTGTGGGGCACCGGTATGGTGAGAAACCACTCCTTGCAGACGACGAATTGGACCATGATGATGATGAAGGTGGTGGTGGTGGTGGTGGTGGAGGTGGAAAAAGCCCTTCTCCAGTTCAGAATAGCTACTGGAGTCATCGTACAGAAGAGGAAGCTAATAAAGGGATGTTATGGGAGAGGAACTGCCTCAGAAAGGATATTTTAATAGACGTATTTGCTTTGGCGCCATTCCAGAAACCAACAGGAAGCTCTTGTAGGAGAAGTTCCAGCAGAGGAAGCAACAGAAAGGTTTCAGGACATTACCAGAGCAGGAGCCAGCCAACTAGTCAGACTGTGTCCCCAATGGATATCCTTACAGGTGGACGCAAGTCATCCCTTCTCATCTCGACGTCTCCTCTCCCTGTCCCAGTTACACCTCCAGAAGATCCTGTACTAGTACAAGGAACACCATTGGTAGATTTGGGAGAATCATCAGGCTCAAATTCTGTTCCTTCAACTGAGTCCATGTTTATTACTGCTGCTACACGGCATGAACATGAAGAGGGTCCGAGGAACCTTCCTCAGCGCAGGTATTCCTTCTTGCCTTGAAATATATGGGTTTTTCTCTCTCCTGAAAGTTCCCCCCTGCCCCAATTCGGTGTTTGATATATGCATGGTGTGGAAATCTTAGAACACATTCATCTAGTTTATTAAAACCCACAATTCTAGTTCTGTAACCCAAAATTGTGTTTATATTTCCCAGTTTCCCCCTGCATGCTCTATGTATGTCTTTTATATTTAAAAAAAAATATTGTATTATTGATGGGTGCTTTGATAATAAGGTTAATACCAGTGATTCTGAGTAATATATCAACTCTTTCCATTGCAGTATGTGTACATCCTATTGTACTCTAACACATATCTCTGTCTTCCACATGTATAGGTATGAGAATGTCCTTGATACACCTTTTCAAGAGCAGAAGGAGAACTCAATACCAGACGCCCTGTGCAGCAACAGGTTTGAGAATTCCATTCTCTTTGCTTCATCAGTTCCTCCAATCGCAGAACAAGATGAAGAGCCGTCGGATGGAGGTGGAAGCAACAAGGATCTGTTTGGTTCGTCTCCATTCAATTCTGGATCATATGTTGTTAATCCCTTCAGCAGCAGCAGCAGCAGCAGTGCCAACAGCGGTGTTGTGATGGCCAAAAGTATAGTGTCGCCATTGAAACCATACCAGATAACAACTTCTTCACCCTGTGTTTCACATCAGCAGGCTTCTCCATCCTTCACAGATCAGTCTCAATATTTTAGTCCCTCCCAGAAGTTCCTTGTGCCAAATCCTGAACGACATTGCCTTGAGTCACCAGGCAGTCCATCAGATGCGGTCAGCATGACCTCGTCAGTGAATGCACCATCTCTCCCACCTGGAATTATTCCAGGTTCGGCTATGCTTAGGCTGCTTAGTCAGCCACAGCAGGATCTGTTCGGTGCAGTTCCGTTCAGTGACGTGACTACACAGATCCTTACCAAACATTCACAACCAATTAATTTTCCAAGACCAACAACCCTACCTCTCAACCACATGTCACCAGCTAATGACATTGTTCCGAAATTGAAATCCGATCATAAGCATTCCTGCAGCGTGAGTCCGGCAGCTGTAAGTATTCTGAAGTTGGAACCTCTTCACTCCTGTCATTTTCAAGAAAATGCAGACTCTTCTTCCCTATCAGAAGCGAATAGACATAAAGGAAATATTGATACCTCGCCAAAGCTTCTCCAGCTTAAGGATAAAAGCAAAAGTGGTGACAGATCTAAATACCATCTCATAAAGGACTGTCATACTAGTAAGTTAGAGAAAGTCAATGTTCTCTCATCAAAGTTATCACATAAGACTGGGAAATCTGCAGCTTCTTCAGGTTTTAAGAAGTCTTCTAAAGTTTCAAAGAAGGTTGGAGGTGAGAAAACATCAAAAATGGTGGCAGCTGGGTTTAGTAACATGAGTTTTGAAGACTTCCCGAGTGATGAGGGAGACGAGGGATTAACTGAGCAAATGGTCGTTCCATTTGAGGTGATTCGAGGTGAGAAACAAACACATGATGGAGAAAGGAGATTTGGCTCATTGAAACGACGTTCTAACCCGTTCTCTTGAGGAACATTACAGGTAAGCAACAGTTACCAACTGCTGAGTAATCCGTAATTCTAACAAGGGAATGGTCTGACACGACATGTCGAAACCTGCCCTGATTTTTTTTTTACTGCAAGAGTACACACAACAAAGTCCACTGTAAAAATTGTAGCTGCAAATACATACTACAAGTATTTTTTAAAAATTGCCTAAGTTACTCATTTTTTCTGTATGCAGAACCGCTTGTACCAGAGGTTTGTACAACCCCAGCCTAGGCTGTGAGTCAGCTGTGTTGCGTGTTGCGTACTGCTCTGGTCCGGCTCTGCTAGGGGTGGACATTTCTCCAAGAGTCTGGCAGGCTACAATATTGGCCATGTTCAGCAATTTTTAAAAAATACTTGCAGTGCATATTAGCTAAAATTTTGACAGTGGATTTTATTGTGTGTACTCTTGCAGTGAAAAAAAAATAAGGGCAGGTTTTGACATGTCGGATCAGACCATTCCCTAGTAAGTGACATTGGTGACATAGAGCAATGAACCTCAATGAAAGAAATAAACATACCAAAATAACAGGGTGTCTTCAAATTTGAAACTATAACTTATAACAGATTAGTATTGTGTGCAAATGTGGAGAACACGTTGAAGGTTTGTCTGATTTTAAGAGTGAGGGCTGCTACAGATACTTCCAGTGGAAATCCAAAAATTGGACATTACTTGCCTGAATTATACAGGTTATATGTATAGAAATGAAATAAAATTGCTTCAGTCTATTTCCATCCTGTGCCTGTTTTCCCCAAATAGTGGCTTTGGTGATATGAAAATAGAGCAGCATATTAATTAGCACGGTTCTTTCTTATCATTGAGCTGTTAGGAATTGTATAATTAGGCAAATATTAATTTGCACAAGAAGTGACACAAATAAATATATCTAGTGAGTAAATAGTTTTTATACCATTATATCATCAAGATGGGGCACATGGTAGTGTATTTGGTTGAGGCACTGTGCTACAAGCTGGAAGGTTGCAGGTTTGATTCCTGATGGGGCCATTGGATTTTTCATTTGACCTAATCCTTCAAGCCTTCTTTATTATTTGTACCAGTATGAAATTGGTTTAATGAAATGCAGAATAAAAATTAAGAAACACTGTTTGAGGGCTTCATAACAAAATATACAGTTCTGTGAGGAACAGGTTTTCAGCTGATGCATCCAGAAGTATTTCTTGCATGTGTACTTTGTTGTGTTCCCAGTGACTGTCTTTTGTTTTAATGCTGTTGAAAATGTAGGAGAGATATATAACCAAAGCGCAAGTTAATGTTACTTTACTTTGTATGCCCTCTTCTGACATAGTGTAAAGGCATTTTCAAGACCTGTCCATTTTTCTTTTTCAGTCTTGATTTTGGCAACCTTTTATTGCATTTCAAAGAAAGAGAACCTTCACTGATTGGTTCAAAAGACTTATTCATAACTGTTATGTCCATGGATTAGTTCCCAAATCTTGGGGTGGGAGTAATGATGTTTGCAAGTCTTAATGCACCAACTCATATGATATAACGCACTTCTTCCTCTAAACTCACCTTCCTCAGGGAGAAAATTAAAAAAAAAATCTGGTTATGACCCTCTTAAGTCCGTCATTTCACAGACTGGAAGAGACTAATTTTGTTGTTAAGTCCTTCTAAAATTGATGGCGTCCACCACTCCAATTCCTTCAGAAGCTTTTAATTTTAACAGTAACCTGTGCACTGATAGTGGAGTTATGGACATAATAAAAGCATTTTTGGTAAACAACATATGTTCAGATTGGATACATCTTCACTACAGAATGCTGTTCAGTATGATGTTATTGCAGCTTTATGTCAGAAGACAATCTAAGCAGGTCTTACAAGTGCCTTTTCAGTGGGTTGTACAAGTGAGAGACACCAGGTCTCAAACCACTGAGGCAGAGTAGAGGCTTCGGGACTGATTATGGTATCTTCTGGGTGTATTTGTATATTTTCTTTCGTGCAACACTAGTTTGGAGAAGAGAAATGTATATTGGAAATTTTTGCAGAATAAAAGATACAGCTAGAATTCAGAAGCAATTATGAGGAAGTTATTGTTGCAGTATTTATCAGTTTCTTTTGTTGATTTGATGCCTTCAACAAACTGATCAGAGTACCCACACAAGTACCACCAACAGGGTTCAAGAAAGTATAGGCAAGGCAGTTATGTTGAGAGAAAGCCAGCTCCATTATTTGTGGAAAAAAAAGGGAGGTTATTCAAGTAAATTTGCAGACACCCTAGTAGTAGTCAGTATATTTATAAGTCACCCAGGTGATATCGTATAACAGCTATGTGATGTTTCATATTCCGTAAGTTCATTAAACTTCTGAACAGTGTATTTATCTGAATGAAATTTTGGAGGAAAGAAAAAAAAAGCAAAAAAAAAAAAAACGTTTTACTGGTCTAACGTGTGTGGATTTGGGAGAATACGCATTTAAACAAGACCAGACAGGCTGATAATAAGAAATTGTCACTGTGCTTATACTTTGCATGGATGTTGGCTAAGGAAATCTCATATCTTTTTACTTGTAACAATATTATTTTGTGCTGAAAAAAAGAAGTACTTTGTGTATGTATGCTTATTATGAATATTGCAAGAAATTGTAATATGTAGGCTGTTATCAAAATTTAAAGTAAACAAAGTAGCAGTGAAATTTGCAAACATAATTGCATTTGCTATGGTTCCTTTTTTCATATACCTTTCCCATCTGTCACCTCTGATTAAGTTAAATCACTGTTAATCTGGGGAATAAAATGTCCACCCTCAAGTTATCTTAAAGGGTCCGTGGGTGAATATTGATAGGCAAGGCTAAAACTTCAGGTGGTAATATTCAGTTTGAACTCAAAAGAGTTTTGACTTTAGCAAATATGTACTTAACAAATTATTCAGCAGTAGTATAATTGTTCTCAATTGAAAACTACTTATCATAGCTGTCTTTTGTTAAGTATGGGTTATATAATTACATTATGTATGTATAAGTATTACTCCAGAAGAAATGCTGTAGATGTTTTCTTGAAAGTTAAAATCTGAACCACTTGAAATATTCTGCCCAACACATGCTGTTTTTTTTTTTTCAAGTATATTTAGAATTATTCAAAATGTTGTAGTAGTACGTGAATAACATAATTTAAAGTAGGCAGTTTCTGTAAGACACAACAAACTGTCCACAAAAAGATGTTAATTTGAAATATACACCCCAGAATATTAGTTCCTGTTCTGTGCATCTTGAAAGAGCCCACGTGAACCAAAAAATGAGGTATGAAGGAATGTAATCATGTGGATTGTACCATTTAGTTAAGACATTACAGCCTCGAAGACCTCATTATTCAGATTCACCACCAATAAAACTTCAAATCTGACAAGATTTGTTGTATGCATGATTGTATTGTATACATTATATAGTTTTGATTTCCACATATTGAAGTATGCACTTCAGTCATGAAGCTCCAAATAATAAAGTGCATTTACGCAAGACTGCTGACTGTGTTTAATGGACTGTAATTGAATATGCACTTTATTACTGGGGGGAATAAGGAAGAAGGAAGGATGAAGAACAAATTTGGAGTCTGCATGCTGTATATTGCTTTTATAGGTTATGAAAATTACACCGAATAAAATTGTTGGAAGAAGTTCAGGAGGAGTTTTGTAATTGTACTTCTTATCTTAATGTCTGTGGATATGAAGTAACTTCACATGTTCTAAGTTGTGTCAGGAATATAATGAAGTTAGAGTAATGTAAATGAATATTAGCCACTTCCATACTGTATAATTATAACCTGATAAAACACATACAAATATTTCATAGATACATTTGTTTTAAGTGAAGAATTCTTATGGGATATAATGTCATGTAGTCTGTTGAAGGTCAACTGACATTTCATGTCACCTCCATTTTCAGAGTTGAAGAGTAAACCAAGCAAGAACCCAGCATGAAGCAGGCAGCAATATTTTCTTTGCCCCTGAAGATGTAGGTGATGTGTTCCTCTGAAACAGTGGTTGATTTCCATTAGACCGCACAGCATTATATCCCAGAAGATGGAATTCTTCATAACTACTGCTGTATGAATCTCAGATCCTGCATTTGTTTTAGTGTTGACAGGCTGAAGAAATACCATTTTTCCATAAAAGTATGGAGTACATAAAGAAATAAAATTAATTTGTTCAAGGATTTCATATTAACAGGAAATATGAAATCTGAGCAGAACTATTGCTTATGCTACTTTTCATTAAATGTTTTATTTGAAAGGCTAGTAATACATACTGAAAAATAATAATTGCAGAGCTCTGTGATGTTTCTGTGCATAATTTCCTCAGGTATACATGTGTGCTGTCTTTAAGTAGAATATGCAGATTTTGAAAGTAAAGTATGTGACACCATTTGAAAATAGTTGACTTTGAACAGATGATCCATGCAAAACTTGAGGCATTATTTCCTTCAGCCAAATTTATAATTTTAGATTCAGCTGTTTTCACAATGTAGCTTGTCTTCTCTAATTCTGTTTCAGAAAGTACTGAACAGTATATATTGCCAAGTAAAGTATTTTCCTTTCATACTGGGCAAGTAATTTTATACATTATCAAAAATATGTTTGCGAAATTTATTCATATCTGGTCTAAGCAGAATAGTGAAACAGGAAGGTAGTGGTGTCTGTAATTTGGTTTGTGGCTATAATGGCACCTTTATGACAAAAATAATATTCTTTTGCTTCATGTGCATTTGTATTCCAGATTCAGTTTTAATGATATGTTCTAACCAAGTTTCTCAAAGATATATCGACATGTATGAGATCGCTTTCATATTTTAAATGTAATTGTGTGTAAATTTGGTAAGGCATGTGGTGGAATACTGTTTTACCGCTTTGTTTGTTGAGTATTTATGGGAATATGTTATATGTAAGACATGTTGAAGGTCATCTATATTATTCATTGTTACCATAATGAACTGAAGTTGGCAAATAATTTCTTTGTGTTTAATTCTGAAAATGCATTATTAATATTGAAGCAGATTGCAGGTTCCAAGGATATTGTTGATGTATAATATTTTGTAAGTAAGCATGTCATGTATTATATAGTACTAAGGAATGTCCCCTAAAGATATCATCTGGGTGTACAAAGCAGTGCTGTAATTTAGTTGACATTTGAAGTATTAGAATTTGTGTGGAGCAAATTTCCACTACCAGTGGACATGGAGAAATATGAGGTATGCCTAGTAAGTTAGTAGATTTGTTATCAGTATGCTGTGCTGTGTAGTGTCTGGTTGGTCTGAGTTCCTTGACATGCTGCACAGAAGTGCATTGGCCCATTTCTTTCATGAATGGAATTTCTTTAAAGTATTTTGCTACACATTTCACATATTTTATCTATTATGCTGAGTTGCAAGGAAGATTATATTTCATCTTGCATAATTGATGTGTTTGGTTCAAGAATATTACTCCATTTATGTAAACTTAAAAGAACTAAAAATGGATAGTTAATTAAAATTTGTATTATAGCTATAGTCACGAATGCTGTAAATGACTGAAGTTTGTTCTGTGTGGTTTACCAAAACAAATGGTAACAAACTTTGTTATTCTTTTTGGGAGCTATTCATTTTTGACACCAAACTCTTCAGTTGCTCAGTAATATTGTATTTTAAAGTAAGGCTATGTATATTTGCGTGGTAAATATTGAATTATTATTAAAATGTTATTATTATATGATTTTTAATTTATTTATGTTGATTTTTAAACTATTTATATAATTACATGTTTTTTCATTCCAGTATTGAAATCTGTAAAAGAATAAGTATCATTGACAAAGTATTTAATAATGCAGATAAATTAATTGCTAAATCAAAAACATACCTGTTTTTGTTAATGAATTCAGTAAGAATGTCCATTTTGGCTTACAAGGTGGACCAAGCTCAGCCTATCCACATTCTTGTTATTAATATAACCAAGCTGCAGGGACAATCTGAGGAAGCTTATTAGGGTTATAACAGCCAGAATGGTGAGAAAATTAGTATTTGTTTAATAATGTTGAAATCTTTGCTCTGTATTGATTAATGGGTGTGAGACAGTTTCTAGACTACCATGTTGAATTTCCCACACACAACCCAATGAATTGTAATCCTGTGTTCTAGAATGTTAGCGTGTTTCTGCATCAGCTGAGAGTTATTGTAAATATGCCTTCTTAAGGTGAAGTTTAACATGGTGGTCATTGTACTGCTTCATTAACCAAGTGCCTGCCAGAAAATGAATGATAGTTTTGTAAGATGTTTGTAAGTTATCAGATATTATATACTGCCTGTTATTAAAGAAGAAAAAGCTTTAACAGAATAATGGTCATTTAGAAAGTGTGTATGTATATATACAGGGTGTCCCAGGAGGAAAGGTCAATATTCTGGGAGATCATAGTATCTGTCATTCTAAGCAAAAAAAAAAAAAGCGTGAAAGTAGATGTTCCTATTCTGATCGGTTTCTGAGATAGAATTGTTTCAGTCTGTACAGACACGCAGCATGCCATGTCCTCACACAAACTGCAAAGTGCATTGATTTTGGTGGTGAAATTCTCGGTAATGTATTATACTAGGTAAACCTATACTGACTTTGCCACTTGAACAATAAATACCGGTATTAGAAACAGTATGTAATATCGCTTTCATATCAACAATTTTGGAACTGTACAGTGAAATAGCTCTATCCCAGAAAGTGTTTGGAATAGGACACATGTCCATATACACTTTTTTGCTTAGAGTGACCGATACTATGACCTCCCAGAATATTGACCTTTCCTCCTGGGACACCTGTCATGTATTGTTATTGTCATGTCCATGCATTTGTTATTGTTTAATATGTAATGTAAATGTAGTTTTTTGCAATATTACGTCATATTTCTTGGAAGCTTGATAAGGCAGCTAGAAGACAGTTTGTTATGTATTTCTTTCAGCTGGTTTGTGATGAAAAGATAAGGAATTGTGTTGTCAGATTCTACACGTTCTACAGTTAGAAATCATGATACTGGAAAAAAGTTCTTTATATTCAGTCTTGTTTGCAGTATTGGGCATGATAAAATGAGTATTCTTTAGTGTATGATTTAATAGAAATAAAAATATTACATTATTATTGCAAAAAATGTATGAAAAGTAACACTCAAGTCACAGGAACTTTTGATTATGCTGTGTGTTATATCAAACAGTATTTTAGTATTAACTATATAAGTACTTTCTGTTCATGGCTCATTTTGTCAGGTTTGTTGACATGCTAGATCAGATCAGATCATATCCATAATCTTAACTTTATCTAGTGCATATGTAAATTGAAACTAATACAGGAACAGTGTAAATATTAGGCAGATCTTTGCTGTATTTACAGCTCTGAGTGACTGCCTTATGTAGCTTAGTCATGAGTTATTCAAAGTACATCTGAAATGTAGTATTGCATTGAGGCCCTATAATCCATGGTATCCTGGATGAAGCAAAACTGTCAGTCTGTGCTAGAGTCAAAAGATTGAGAGTAAAGACATCACATAAATTATTTTAATCAGGTTATTCTGTTTTGCATGCTGTTCGCAATATAGTCAATAGCTGCAAGCAATCTTTATAAAGAACAAATTCTCAGAAGGTGAGACCAGTCTATAACTATCTGCCAAGTTAAAATTAGAATTTTAGCTTATAATAAGAATTGTGGCAAGTAGGATTAATGCACTGCTCTCTTGTTGTTTGGATGGTTATACTATAATGAATATTTGAAGATAGGAATGTCTACAGAGTCTCTTAACATTAGCATTTCATCTATTAGAAGAAGTATTGTTAATGCCAGGAACCTGTGACACTACATCAGACGAATTTTACATATTTCTAAAGTATTTCTAAAGTAATTGGAAAAGAGCAGCAGAATATGTATTATTTCAAAGAACTGTAGACATTAAAAATTACTAATAGACCTTGATGTAGTGATCAAAGTCAGAGAAGCAGTTCATTTGAAGAGAGAACTCTATTCATCCAACTGTTAAATATTCTGCTTTCTGTATCTGCTGTTTTTGTGTATGTCATAATTCGAGACCAGCATTTATGATCACACACACACAAGCAGACCACAGATAGGGTTATTTGAATTAATATTAGAATGCTCAGAATAAAAATATTAACATTTATGTAAAACATTACATATTTTTCTCATAAAATAGATGATTATTTATGTAGTGGCAGTAGATATCATACCACTCCTTAAAATTGGTCAAAAGAAAAAAGCTTTCAGGTTGGAAATTAAAAATATGCTTTCATCCGAAACAGTTTTAAATTGAAATGAATTGTCTTCAGAAATGTTTGCTTTATTGATACATCCATGCATATAGATGTATACTTATTTGTATGTTATAATCATTTGCATACTGAATTTTTCCAGTTTTCTTTAAGTTATGAAAAGGCTTTGTTATATCTGTGCATATCCATTGTATGAGTAACTAATTTGTGAAATCTTGTAGATAGTTGGGTTTAAATTCCAAGAGTTTTCACAGATTCTAAGGCACCAAAGACATATAGTGCAGATGCAGCCATTTGTAGCAAATTGATATTTTCTAAATTTAGAAGGATGTTGATAATTTAGTTGCACCCTATCAAGTACTCTTTTATGTCGTATGAAATTATGGCTAGTAATTGTGATTGAAAGGAACTCTGTGATGATGGAAATAGGTTACACAAAATTTGTTTTATGTGATGTGTAGTTAACAAACTTGAAGAAAGGAGAACCTATAAGATTGTATAGCTGTACTATCAGCAGTACATTTCTATACAATATAAATTAATATTAAGATTAAGAGCACAGAAAGCTTTGTATACCCTGAAATTCAGGACAGCTTTCTGCACTTGTTTAACTTGTACCACCACAACAACCTCTTGCTTTGTTTATAATAATACCATAGTTTATAAAGATGGCAGTCCAAACAACACAGTTTATCCACACAGAACCTATGGCTGCTTGGAGGGACAGCCCAGTGTTGATGAATGGTCCTCGCTCAAAGTCCCTTTCTTCATGTGGGCGGTTGTAATTTATATATTCTTTTCGTTGGAATGGTCTTGTAACAGGTTCCAAGTAGTCCATGAAGTCAAATATAGCTCCACATGATAACCGCCCATTAATAGTTGCTGCCATCTGACCAGTTATTTGACTGTCTTTGGAGAGAGCTCTTCTGTATTCTCCGCAAGTTTGGTAATATCCATGAGTTAGATAACTTGCACTAATTATCAGCAGAATACAAATACCTAATGACAGAATAATCAGTCCTGTCCAGCATATGCAGCCAGGGTTCTCAGGCACTCTCTTTGTATGTTTTGTCACTACAGCAATGTCCCCATTCCTGAAAATACAATTTTAAAACCTTTGTCTTAAGTCATTTCCATTGCAGTCAAGTGGACTGATGTCAGCTACGGCAGCAATAAATGGGACTGGAATGTATGCATCACTTGGTATTATAGTTTTGATATCTGCTGGAACAGAGTTACTTCTAGAGTACTTAGCAGTGCCATACTTCTTGAGACAATATTCCATATTTTAAATGTTTAGTGTGTGATACAAACAAACTCCGTGGTTTTAGTCTGCAAGTGAACTATACCGACCGAGCGACCGCTACTTGTCAGTGAAGTTAGTGTCATCTTTAGTGGATAAAGGGTGTTGTGTGGTCAGTGCAATGGATCCCCATGGCCGTTAACCTCGGTTTTCTAGACTGTAGCCACTATTTCCTTGAAATAGCTCCTCAGTTATCCTCACGATGCTGAGTGAACCCCATTGCAGGCCCACTACTTCTCAGAAAATTTGGTAGCACTGGGAATTGAACCCGGACCTCTGACCACTAGACCATGGAGGCTGTCTTAGTGTGTGATACTGATTTGAAAAATATTCATGCAGCATTTCTTGTGTAGTACTGATTTGGAAAATATTTTAACTTTGTCTAAATCAGTACCTAACTGCCACATTTGCTTAATGAATATAACATATTTACACCTATATTGGCAACAAATTTGTAGTATGAGGAGTGTTGATGGAAACTGCATGTTTAGGTGAATAGTGTTATTATGGTTTCATGTAGAAGATTTTTGCAGAGAACTTGAACAGCTGTACAATATGTCACACGTAAATGGGACCAGTACTTGCAATTTTACAGAAGAAATGGTTCCACAGAGTCATGATGGATTTTATCAGAAGTGAATATCTGCACTTTGCTGGGAATATCCAAAGTCAGCTATGCATTGATAGCTATATCTTGTAGATCTGATCAACAAGTGAATAGAAGGCCACATAGAAATCTTACTCTCCTTATTTTATGGAGGTCTGTGAAGATTGATTGAACACTACCAGGATGCATTGGCAATTGTCAGAGAATGTGAAAACACTGACTTATTTTTCCTCATAATGGCATGTAATCCAGGTACGTCACATACCCATCATAATCTTGAGTTTTTAAAATCAAAATGATGATGCTTATATCACTTATTACAAAGAAGCATATTTTTGGATGTGCCAAAGTGTATTTTTTGGTAATAGAATTCCCACACACATTCATCTACTGATAACATTGTGAAAATTAAGAATTTTTTTTAGATTGATGACAGTGATAATGTTTTGATATATAATGAGAATTGCTGGGAACACGTGCAGCTGGAGCTATGGCACATCGACAAACGCACATGCGCGTTCGAGATGCTCGAGTTTCAGTACTGTATATTTTGGCGCGTACTGTATATGAAATGATGAAACTGTACCTTCGTCTCATTCTTGCTGTAGTTCTAGTTTCCTCCTTGCTGAACATACAGACTCTGTAGCCATGGTATACAGCCGTAATTATGGCAATGATGAAAGCTGGCACTGAAGCAAGTGTTGCGAAGTAACAAACTGAAATGTCACCACCATTGAATGTACGGAATGTTTGTGTGCCATAGAGAATGCAACCACAGCGGGCACTCACACATGTATCAAGAATCTCTTCCCAATGACTCCATGGAACTGCACTGCAGATTATGGTGACTAATGACAGGCATGCTCCAACGCCATATAAGAAGGCAAGTTGTGTCTCACGTTCACGTAAACCCATAAGCTGTAAGAAAGCATGAAATTTTCTCAAAATTACAGTTTCAGATCCTTCATTTACAGTGGAAAGGACACTACAAGGCTTGAAATGCATCATTACGTTCCTACAGTGGAAATACTGGCACGAGTAGTTTAACGTCTGTCCTTGTTCTGACTATGGATTAGTTAATGTAGGTCAGTGCTGTCCAACGTTCTTATGTACTCGGGCACAATTCACTGATGCCTATGGAGGTGTGGGTGCCACCACAGACTACTACTACTACTACTACTACTACTACTACTACTACTACTACTACTACTAATAAACAATAATAATAATAATAATAATAAAATTTTTCGAAAATATTTAACAGTACTCAGACGTTCAAAAATGTCTCATCTTACAATTTGAATTAATATTAAAAATCGGCTCAATTATGTGGTTACGGAGGGCGCCAGAAAAATATACCACGGGCGCCTCGTTGGACAGGGCTGATGTAGGTATAAGAAACTGCAAAGAACATATTTCTGTCGAAGTTCCATGATACAGAAATAAAGTTAATTCCTTCATGCTACAGAATATGGGTAGTAAATAGGAATTTCACAGCTCTGAAAAATGTTACTAATGTGTTTAAAAATTCCTTACCTTTAATTATATGAATTACTGAGCACATGTGATAATACTGTTGACTTTATTGTATTTATATCTCTGAGTTGTGTTTTATTCACACACAAATTTGTCCTGATTGCTTCAGCAAAGCAATACCCTAGAAGCCCTGAGGTTGTTCTCATCAGTGAAGTGGCCCCACCTATTCAGTATGTTTTCATGTTATCTACAGAATAAACATATAGTTAAGATAAGATGTGGATGTGTGTGTGAAGTGACAAGGATGGAGTGAGAGAGTGCTTACATGTTGTGGAGTGACACATCAGTGTAGTTTCATATTGTTGTATGTATTATTGTGAATATAGATGGGTTTTGGGTTGATGATCGGGTTTAGTGGACACTTTGATACATAAAGTGCGTGACTATACATTTCACTCTTACACACAAACGCACTAGTGCCCACAGTCATGTCTTCACTAGCCTTTGCTTGATAGTGGCTTCCAACGACGGACGTTCCCCTTCATGAACTGTCTCCAGCCTCGGCTACCAGTTTCTCACAGCAGCAGCTCTCTACCTACCTCACATACTAACTACTATTGTGTAAGCCGACGTTTCGAAGGAACATATGGCCTCCATCTTCAGGGTATAAAACTCAGTGAGCAAGGAACCTTGAAGATCAATGCGATACATGCCTCCGAAACGTCGGTTTACACAATATTTACATGGCGCCACATCCCAGAAGACAGCATTCTTCTTAATGATGAAATTTGTTCAAATCATCTTAAATCAGAGTAAGAATGAGACAGTACCTGTATGCCAGAAACTTGCTATGGGTAACATGGCTATAGCACTCATTCAGGAACCCTGGATTCAAGTGGGCCAAATAAGGGGACTAACTAGTTTTAGGGAACAGTATTTTCATTGTACCTAATGGTAGCTGAAGATCCTGAATTTATATTGGTAATTACATTAATGCCTTTTTTTTTTTCGCTTAGTGGGGGGTGGAGTCCAACTGAGTCCACTCACCGTGGAGGCCACTGATTGGCCTATTGTAGCTTGCCCGGTGATTATGATGATGGAGAATTTGGTGGAATGAAGATTGGCGGGGGAAACCGAAGTACTCGGAGAAAACCCGCCCCAGCGCCACTTTGTCCACCACAAATCCCACTTGACCAGACCCGGGCCACCGCAGTGGGAACCCAGTGAGTAACCGCTTGAGCTATGGCGCAGTCAATGCCTCGCCTTTGTTTTAGCCTTATTCTACAGCTGTGACAGTGGCAAGGACAAGAGACACAAGTGGAGGGAGGAGCCAGAAGGAACTTACTGTCACATCAACATACCTTCCATGTGACACAGGTCATTTGATGTACACATCACATGAAGGAGCACTGACATCAGTCCAGGAGAATAAAGTTTAATGGAATATTTGATGAGCTTGAATGTGAATATTCTTAATTACAGTAGTGAACCTACCTTTGTGATTTGCAACAGGAAGGATGAACAATGTAGATAACCTAGTGAATGGCTGATGAGCCCTTTCTCTCAGATAACATACCTACACAAAAACATAAAGGTGGCATGGAAACCCTCTAACAAGAGAACTGGGAACTATCAGAGCTAAATGGGAACCAGTTGAGACATCGGACAGATTTCTTACAGGACACTTGTCTCTTGAAGGGACACCTATTCAAACTGAGACTAGTACAGTGCCATGATGTCATATGTGACTGTGAGGCGAAGATATCATCACTTGGGAATCCATTTCATGAAGCCACGTGACTATAAAAAGGCTCCATTAAATGAAGTGCTGCGTTTCATTTGAAGCCTTCTAGCATTCGCTAGTGGGCTAATGTGAGAAAGGCGATATACAGTAGACCATAGCAGTCACTGTGCAAGGGCTGTTTAATGCCCATCCATTTAATCTAAGCTGAACACTTAACACAGTGTGAACAATATTTTGTGTAACAGTTTTCAGATTGTCTTCAGTTATCAAAGACTTTGGTTTTATACTTCCTTTTAAATGAGCAATATTATCAGTTTCTGAAAGTAATTTGTTGGGGGTATGGATGTCTTGCTTTGGTGGTTATATGTTTGGGAATGTATCAACAAAAGCTTCAACTACCTGGAGAAGTCTTGTCTGCTATCATTTGCAGAAGGAAAACACGGTGCCTTTTCTTTCTGTTATTTACTTGATGGGTAGCACAGGAGTGGCCAACTTTAAGTGAGTACACAAAAAGTACCAACACACACACACATAAGAAAATTTCAGGAAATCCACTTACATGCAATTCTATATGTGGATTTGAAATAAATTTATGCAGACTTTAACAGCTATTTATTTCAACAAAAACATGGTTTAAAAAGTATTTACAGTGAAAATTGTGTGATAATTACCTTTCATTAACATTCTGAATAGGCATTTATACATGGAGCACTTGGCAGTTCAAATAATTATGATATTTGATTGAAACTATAAGGAATTGACTTTCAATTACAATTACTGCATGACTTTGTGTTAACATATTCCAACCAAAATATGTTTATTACTTCATACAAGTCTGAACAAGAACACCGAAAGGTGTGAAATGCTGTATAAGAATTCAAAATCTTTGAGGCTTCAACTGAACATTTGGTAAAGATTTTCACTCTATGATCAGAAGATGACCTTCAAGCAACAGCCCGAGGATAATTACTATATCTTTAATGTGATTATAAATTGGAAGTCTCATAGCATACTTTCTGTTCATTATTCTCATCAGTTGTATAAATCATGGTACAGTAAGACCCCTCCAAAATGAGATCTTGATTACATGGTAATTTGTCTTTATTGGAAAATTTCTGTGGCCCTGGGAATACAGCAAGATTATCAGTGTAAACTCTTCTAATAAAGGGGAACTACATCATGCAGAGAGAGATTAAAGGGAAGAATTTTAAGAGAAAGCAGTCTGCTTGAATGTTTGATATTTTCTCTTCATGTTATTCTGTTCTCTACTATTTTTCCTGCAATTCATCAGAGAAGAAACATTCCTATCAAAAACATGAACAACTGAAAATATATATAATTCAGTAACACTGCAGTGTACACATGAAGCATAAATTTCTGGTTTGTGGTCTTGATCATACATACAGTGCAAATTTTTTTATCTTTAAATACCTATACTAAATAGAAGCCTCTTTTAAAACAGAAAAATGTTCATGTCCCTTGGGGATCAGTTATAACCAGATTTTACTCTGTATATTCAAATTTATATATATAACAGGAACTGCTCTCTTTCCATCTGATGTGCAGTGTTAAATAAAAGATAATCTTACACCAAACACTGAGAATATTACATCATCAGTTTGTCATCAGATCATATTTCAGTAAACAGCATAAAATTTATCAATTAAAAGCCCCAGTTTGTGTCAATGCTATAATTCTGTATTTCAACAGTGCATTACAATTTTCAGTGCCACAATTTATTATATTAAATAATTTAAATACATCCAACATAGTTATATGGGTGATCAGGTTCCTCTCCAAACAGAAGAGTCTGTGGTATATTCATTATACACTGACAAAATGGACTGAATAACTGAACATGCTACTTATGAGTACTAAACTGAAATCGCAGAAGTGTTCCTATGGATTCTGCTTTTTCTGACAGCATTTTCCATTTCCCCTCTGACAACAACTTTTCTGGGTTAATTAAAATCCACAACAGTCTAAAAACCCCTCAGTGTTCTGAAGTAACATATTGACAACTTCACAAACACACAAATATCAGTTGAAGTTCTTTGCAAAGAGAGAAAAAAAAAAAACTACACAACTGAAGGCATGAAAAAACATCAAGCTATTTCTCTTATAAAGGTGCCTCCTCAAGTATGACATACATTACTGAAGTTTTGGCCCAAGATTAACACCAATTACAGACAAACTACAATATTTATAATTCATGAGTAATACATTCTGGGTTCAGGAATTGTACAATTTCACTTGCACTGTATCGTTTGTCTGAAAGCTGTCTTTTGCAAAGAGATAAAATTATGAAACAGGATTTACATCTGAAAATTACATAGGAACCCTCAAGTGTATTATGTCATGACTTCATTATGATCTAGCTGAATTAAAGCTTTATGTTCTGGTAAATGAATAAAAACTATTACTAATTTAACTTAAAAATTTCTATTTTGGGCTCTCTGCCAGTGTTTCAGAAAACTACTACACCCAGAAGAATAAGATGCAAGATTTCTTTGAAACAATGACAAGCCCATCACAATTCAGTTTCATAAAATCAAAATAAGTCTCAACAAATTGCCATGAAAGTCTCAAGACTCTAAAATGAGTGTCCTTGTTTCTTCTACTCCGTCTTCATTTAAATATGATGGGCATTGTTCAACAAATCTCAAATTCTAGTACTGTAATTATTTTGTTTATACTGCTAAAGTTGGCACTACCTTCGCTGACAAGTGGCGGTCGCTCGGTCGATATAGTTCGCTTGTGGACTACAGGCCACAAAGTTTGTTTGTTTTTTTTTGTTTAGACTGTTTGCATAATCTGCTGTCTGTTGAAAAGATGAATGCCAGAAAAGATCGTTTGCTGGTTTTGTTGAAGAGTTTCATGATGCTTGATATCGAGAGAGGTTATGCGGCAGCTTGGATGGATTTGGTTTCATTTATCTTTTCCATCTGTTTATGAAAAAGCAGAATGTCCTCCTTTTCAAGTGCCTTATTTAGATGTCGCTAATATTTACCCTATTATTTTAAGCCAAAGATGAAAATATCTAAATGCAGTACTCCTGAAATTGTAATTTGCAACAACTCATAACAGACGTTCTTCATTGCTTTAACCTCTCAGTCCAGTTTACTGCAATGCATAAAGACTCTGGAATCTTAGTGATTTCTGTCGTTAGGGTACATTTCCACTGGCATGTTTTTGCCGCTTATCTCTTAACTCCAAGGCTTTATAAATGAACAAAATTCAATTAAACAGCTTCAGTTAAAGGATAATTAATTCTGTCCAGTGACTGGATGGAATTAATTAACCTTTTATAATATTGTTATTGTCACGGACCAGGATGAAGCAGATCAAACTTCAGTTAATGTTATGTTATTGGGATGTTGACTTACAGGAAATGATGAAAGGAATCTATGGTGTATCAAAATTAAAGAATGTCATGTCAATCCTCACTTGTAGCCAAATATGTCTATAGAAATGGGAACTCAGTATGGAGACTTCACTGTCGTGGAAGCATGGGATTAACATGAATTAATTTTAAGGATATTCACATGGGTCCATTCATACTTTCCAGCAGTATTCAGGTCCATTTACTTATGCATCTCATGACTTACTCAAAGAACTACAAAATGTGAATGCAATGTATAACAGTCACTGAAAATGTACAAGTCTCAATGGAAAGCTGATATTTCAATCTTTGAAGAATAATATGTAATTTAAACTAAAGTTGAAGATTCCTTACGCTGGATTATATTCTTGCCGAAATCCCTGTAGCCTGTCTCTAGCTGTCCATAAACAGTATATGGAAGCAAGGCCTAGCCCAACTGCTCCACCAATCCCACATTTCTTCAGACCAGCTGTAAGAACATAGATCTATCGTTAAATTGCTTCCAAGTTGACTTCTGATAACCCTAGAAGCCATAACAAATTTCTTGTCCATTAAAAACACACGAAATCTCCCCTAACAGAACCAAAAGGCAGGGTTTGTTTGAAGGTCTCTCAATACAATTATTTTTCTCTGGAAACACAAATTCAGCTCAACTTAATACACGTGAAATAAATAAATATATAACTGGCACACTGCATTCTCCATACATGCTGGACACTGGGGAGTTCACTATACAAATTATATCAAAATAAGAAAGATGTCTATTGCATGCAGCCAACAAGAGGACTGGATATGGGACAAGTATCACTTACCATAGATTAATTTATTATGAAGTTTACAACAGTGGTTTGGATGTGACACATTCTTTGGGTTCCATAAAATCAGAGCATTTATTGATCAGCTGTGTAACCGCTGTATGCTCAAGAAACATCTTAAATGGAGCATTATTTCCATTGTTTTGAGCAGAACACTCACCTGTTGATTTGTACAGCAAGCCTGTGGCAGTGGCAGCTGTGAGCGTGTTTAGCTCATCATCGCTACCTCTCCCCCATGAGAGCAAAACTCCAAACCCACTGTACATCACTGCTAGCACGCCAAGGGTATTAGCAGTCGCCGACCCTTGTTTCATCACATAATTTAAAAGCCTATTGATAGAAAAGAAATTTAACATTATGCTCCATGGGTAGTAAGTACTTAAAGCATGGAATTGAATTATCAACTGCTTTTACTCCATTGTCAACACATTACAGTACCAGTTCGTAAGCTGACAGTTTTGTGTACGACGGAGGACCCAAGAATAACCGGAAACGACCTGTTGCGCATGCATGCTTTGTAGTTATGAGTTGTGCTGCTAGGTGGTGTTAGCTGGGGGTCTCCCGCGGCTGTTAGTGAGCTGGCGTCAGTCTGAGTTAAGTGGTTTGTCTGTGGTGCTCTNTGCAGTTTTCCCTAACAGAAAGCAAAATTTCACGCACACTCTTTGTTCCTTCTGGTCGGCCATCTCGCTAATCGCCAAAGGGTTGAAACAGGAACGCACACAACAGAGCACCACAGACAAACCACTTAACTCAGACTGACGCCAGCTCACTAACAGTCGCGGGAGACCCCCAGCTAACACCACCTAGCAGCACAACTCATAACTACAAAGCATGCGCACACAACAGGTCGGTTCTGGTTATTTTTGGGTCCCCCTTCGTATGCAATCGAGGAGGATGAGGTGGGCAGGGCATGTACATGAATGAGGGAGAAGACGAATGACGAATGCATATAGGATGTTGGTGGGAAAGTCAGAAGGAAAGAGACCACTGGGAAGACCAAGGCATAGGTGGGTGGACAATATTAAAATGGATCTTAGAGAGATGGGATGGTATGGACTGGATTGACCTGGCCCAGGATAGGGACCAGTGGAGGGCTCTTGTGAACATGGTAATGAACCTTAGGGTTCCATAAAATGCTGAGAAATTCTTGAGTAGCTGCAGATTTGGCTTCTCCACAAGAAGGGCTCAGCTCAGTAAGTAAGTAAGTAAATCAATATGTCAGTACAAGTAGGAATTATTCTTACAGTTTGCTTTTTATATAAAGCAAATGGTTTTTTTGGTAAAATAAAGAATGACCAGTTTCAAATGATTCTTTGTGGAAAGTGTTACAATTCTGAAAGGTGATAAATTTTCAAGGTATCACCAAACTGTTGTACCACAATTATGTCTTTCAAAAAATTTCAGTTCCAACACTGATTAACCTGACTGAGGAGTTTTGTAGGATTGCACTCTTAACTCTTTGAAGCTAGAAATTCTAAATAATACTAATAATTCAGTTACTTCACATGAAAAAAAAACAGGTGTCTCCATTACAAAGATCAACTTGTTAATACTTCTTAGGGAAATGGTTCCAGTTTATTGTAATGTTTTAAAATTACTGAACAGTGCCACCTACAGTGTAAAAAAATATGAACTTAGAAGAAAGCAGTATTACATAAATATATGGCTGAGATACATTATCTTACAGCAAAATGTATTTGCCACATTGCTCAAATATTGTAGTGTTTTAGACGGCTTAAACTGACTTGTCCAATTGTACCTGCGTAACAGTTTATGAATGTAAATAAATTATGAATTACACGTATTAACACATGCAGATCACAAACTGTAACTATCTTCACCCTTATGCACCAACCCTTCCTGCTAACTTACTGTGTTCGGCGTAACTTCCCAGTATGGCCAGCAAGGGTTGTGCTTCGAAGTCCATTATACAAACCACCTATACCACCAACAGCAGCGCCAGTCATACACGAGACACCAATCTGAGAAAAGGCAAGTTCAAAACGGCCCCTTTGTCGTGCTGCCCCTTCTGGGAAAATGAACTCTGGTTGACTTTGTGGCAAGTAGACAGGATCGAAGTTCAAATACGGAGAAAGTGGTGCCAAATTTTGTTGCGAGTGCACTAAACAATATATGTACACAACAAAATTACCATCATTGTCTCTGTACTTTCAATCACAATGCAATGCCAATACAAATAAAATATTGACCCAAGGCGCAAATTACGACACTGCGTAATGCGGGAGGACAATAGTCTTACCAGGAACATTCATGCCAGGATCCCGATTGGAATATGATGGGGCATATGTGTTTGATGACTCAGATGTCGATGACTCCATAACGATCACTCTATCTAATTTACAAAAATAACTTTCTTAACACAAACCACACGCAACTACACCATGCCTTACCCAACCCCCACCAATCATCAGTGCGGAGAGACCTCTGTGAACAAAATTGATAAGCATATACCACGTTACCAACATACAATTAACTTCCCTTCCAAACGCTGTACATATAAGTGTAGCTCCGGCGAGAGAAGGATTATGTCAATTGAAATATGCAATGACATTGTCGGAAATCTAATCCGCGACCTTCTGGCTTGTAGCATAATGCTTAATCAACAACACTACCGCGTGCCCCTGTCTTCAGGGTGGAATATGAAAGCAACACCTTCTTCCGAAACATCGGCAGACTTCTATCAGATGACACGGTGTCACATCTCCGAAGGCAGCTGGCTGTGAGAATGTCACACCTCACACACAACGCTCACAACGCTCACAACTTACGCATGTTTCCAGAAATATTCAAGTTATTCTTAAGTTGGTATTCCTGCCCGCTACAGTTTAGAGCGTTTAGAGGTTAGAAGGTTTAGAACATAGAACGTTTAGAAGTTTAGAAGAGGGTGACATTTGTTGACAGTGGTGAAGAGCATAGAAAGCGGTCGGTAGATTTCGAGAGGTGTAGGTTTGCTGGTGTATAGTAAACGCCGATGTTTGATGGAGTTGTGGTGAAATGTGTTGTGCTGTTGTAAGTTTCAATTTGGTAAAATGGAAAATTCAAACGAAGACGTGTATTATGCTGATATTGCCAATCTGAGGGAAGTGTTGGCTGCACCACTGTCTTCTGATGATGACGATGAGAAAACTTTAGATAACGCAACCAATGGCAGTGATGAAAATACAAATATTTTACCACAGTCGTTTATAGATCTGGACGACGTTTTGTTAGATGAAAGAGCATCGACTCCGAGAATGTGTAGAACCTTTGGTTCTGCATGTTACGATGTGCTTTTTATTATAGAAAAACAGCTTTTGACGATGCTTGAGAAGTGCCAGACGAAGATTAAAGATCTTCAGGACCATATTGATTCCATCAAGAGTCAAAATGAGAAGTCGTTAATGACTCGTAGTAGTTGGTATTACATGTTCGGTATTCCATATTTCAAAGACTGGCGTTATTTTCCTTGTCCACCAAATGAGGATTATTTGAAGAAAACTGCCAACATGGAGTTGAGTATAATAGACCTCCCAGTACTTAAAGTGTGGAAAGAGAGAGAGAAATTAAATCTGATGGCAGCTGTGAGGACACAGGAAATAGCTAAGCAACTTAAAGAAGCTGAAATCAGAAAACAGCCATTTGTAATGACAGAAGATGGTTTGGATGGTCCATCAGAGATTCAAGTATTAGGAAATTGCCAACCTCTTTTAGAGACTAAGAGTCTTCCAGAGCTTGTGGGATGCAGTAAGTCAGAATATGATTGGATGAAGATATCGGCAGTTGATTTAGAAGGGATGCACAGTGCTGATGAATGTCGTGCAATGTGGTTCAATTATCTTCATCCTGGGATAAGGAAGGCCAAGTGGACAAAAGATGAAGATGATATGTTGAAAGAACTAGTCGTTAAGTATAAAAATCAAAATTGGGATGGAATAGCACAGGAGCTTGGCACTCAACGTTCTGCATATCAGTGCATGTTTCAGTATCAGACGAGACTTAATGATTCGTTGAGGAGGAACAAGTGGACGAAAGAAGAGGATGATTACCTTAAAGAAGTAGTGGAAAGGTGTCGGTTTGGTTCATACATTCCTTGGGGAAAAGTGACTTACTTCATGACTGGACGTAGTAAAACCCAGGTGTTTAATCACTGGTCCTATTCACTGAACCCTTCACTCAAAAAAGGACGTTTCACAAAAGAAGAGGATATTTTGTTGGTGGCAGCTGTACGAAGGCATGGCACTGATTTTTCTCGTGTGGCACGGTTTCTGCCTGGTCGTACTTCAACACAGATTCGTTATAGGTACAATTCAGTTTTGGCACATGAAGGTAACGGTGAACCATGGACACCAAAAGAAGATGAATTGCTGATGACTTTAGTTACAGAACTTGGAGAAGGTAAGTGGAGTGAAATTAGTCAGCATTTTAAGAATCGGAGTAGAACTCAAGTCAGACATCGCTACACTACTCTTCAGAACTGGCAACGGAAAGTCCCTGCAGACATGAGAGAAATACCCCCTGCACCTACACGGCGACATAATATTGAAAGTAACAGAGAAGAAAAGATATGGAACAAAGTGCAAGCAATTCTTGGTAATGTTGAAATGGGGGTAGAAATGGATGAACAAAACTTGATGAAGTTGAAAGAAAAGATGAATCTAAAAGGGAGAAAGCACCGAGGACGCAAGTTGGGACAAAAGAAGGTGCTCAGTGTAATTAGCAAGAGGTACTATAGTTTCTTCAGATGTGTATATCCGAAGACTGGTGGAAGAAAGAAGCTTCGTTACGAGGAACATTTCGTTAAGACTAGTGGACAGGTGATCTACAACATGCTTCAGTATTTTCAGGCACACCTTGATATCCCCAAGGATGATTCTGCAATAGATGGAGACCATCTGCTTGAAGAAACAGACAGATTTATTCTCCGTTATCTCAGGGACAGGAAAGAACACTTAAATGCAAGTGAGATATTTGAACAAGAAGGAAATAGTACTGATCTGTGCAATGACATTTTGCCAACTGTAGACACTGCTGCAGCTGATGTTCTGAATGGTGCTGCTTCACTTCGCGAAACAACCCTTACATCTCAGGTTCCAAATACAGCCGCTGCACTTCCTGAAATAGAACTTGCTGCCAGTCAAGCCCAGAATTTAGGCTTTTCTACTATGCTTCCTGAAAATTGTCCGTTACGTCCATCACGCACCACTTCCAAAATACCTTATCTGTGTCCTCCCAATCATACCACTTTGGTTGGATTCCGTACTTTTCTTCTAAGCCGTCGGAATATTGCACTAAATGCAGATGACATAGACAGAGTAATAAAATCGGAAGTCAGTGACACAACAAATTCGGATATCAGTTCAGTATCATGTTCAGAGCGTATCACTCCTGCAGAGGCGGCAGCTTTGTGGAAGGAACGGTTGGCTTCATTGTTTGTGTGGCCTGCAATAATGTCCAACACAGTTCCAAAAGTCAAGGAGTGTTTGTTTCAAAGCGATGATCCACCAGTTGCAAGCACCAGTCATGGAATCACTGATGGAGGGGACATTGAGAGTGTTTCAAGCAGTAACTGTGGTGTGAGGGCCACAAAGACACGGATATGTAGGAAAATTTCCAGGAAAAAGAAGTGGAGGAGGAAGAAGAAGGAGAAGGATGCTGCTTTGTCACCACCAAAAAAGAAAAGGAAGTATGAAAGAACTGGAAAATACAAGAAACCTCCCCAGTGTGTTGTGCAGAAGAGGATTACGAGGCATTCGTCTGCTTCTGCAAGTGGCCCACTGGAATCGGAAGACATAAAGTAGAAGTGTAATGTCATATGCTTGGAAACTGTTGCAGGCTTTGGATGATGTTACAATTTTTGTTTTGTATTTCTTTTTGTTAGGTTAAATGTTTTTGATCAATATAGTGACTAAATTTTCGGTGTTACCTATGAAAATATCATTGGCAATTTAATAATCTATTAAGCACTAGTCTTCAGAGATTGTGTTATACAAAAGAATAAAAACTCATGAAATTTATGTTGCATTTACAATAAAAATAAATAAGTAAATCGTGATGACTGGAGGTATGATATCTCTGATATTCCAAGGCAATTTCAGATGTGTTTCACCTTAAGAAAGTTTTATGTTTACTAGTAATTGATTTGATAGTGTGAACAGTCAAGAAAACATTTGTAAGATTTGAGGTTTTCACGGCAGTGACTTTGAAGAAAGGAGTCTTCTGGGATGTAGCACCGTGTAGATATTATGTTTACTGATGTTTCGGAGGAACGTATCAGCTCCATCTTCATGGTAGAAGAAAAAAGAAGAAAATCCATGAGCGAGGAACGATTCTGTTAGCACCTGATCATGCTGGTTCCTTGCTCGTGGATTTTCTTCTTTTTTCTTCTACCCTGAAGATGGAGGCGCTACGTTCTTCCGAAACGTCGGTTAACATAATATCTACATGGCGCCATGTCCCAGAATACTGCTTTCTTCAAGAAAACATTTGTTGAATTTGAGGTTCTCACAGTGGTGGTTATGAAGCATGTTATTTTCTGGGGTGTAACTTTGTATCTTGTATGAAGAAAGTTGTCTTCTGGGTTTAGGCACCGTGTATTCTTCGTTTTGGTGCCTAAACCCAGAAGACAAATTTCTTCATTGTCATCGCCGTGAAAACCTCAAAACTTACATTGTATCTTGTATCTTTATTTTAATTTCTATAGATCCTTACTGGCTACCAAAGCCATTGGATATTGAACATGTCACAATTTACATACAGTAGTTCAGGGAACAGAAACTAGTCTTCTTACAGCCACATTCATAAAAGGAACCATAATTATACAATTCAGTAATTTAACAAATATGTACAGTTCTTCAACTAGACATTAATACCTAATTAAACTCATACAAATATCATTTGAAAGTCTTTTATACAACATACCATATAAACAGCATTACAAAAAGATTAGTTCATCTCATATTTAAAATACTCGTCCAACGTATAGAATGAATGGGAATACAAGACATTTTTCAAAGCCAATTTAAATTTTTTTTTGTATTATGGGACAGATCTTATATTGGAACAGGTAAGCTGTTAAACACCTTAATCCCAGCATAATAAGTTCCCTTCTGAAAAACTGACAGATGAGATGACTGATGATGCAAATCAGATTTGGTCCTAATAGTAATATTTTGTACCTCAGAATTTACTTTAAAATGGCGTCTTTTATTAATCACATACAGTGATAGTGAATATATGTACTGAGATTTTAGTGGTAGTATTTTGAGTTCTCTAAAATATTTTCTGCATAAATCTCTATCCCTAATCCCAATAATAATTCTAATAGCTTTTTTTTTTGTAGTCTAAAAATTATGTTACTATAATGAGAATTTCCCAAAAATATTAGTCCATAAGTCATAATCGAGTGGAAATATGAATAATATAACATCTTTTATGATTCCTGGGACAAGAAAGGCTTAATTGTTGTAATTGCGTATCAAGCAAAACTTAGTTTGGTGACTGTGTCTATATGAATCTTCCAAGAGGAAGTATTGCCCAATGTTAATCCAAGAAATTTTGTATTACAAATATCAACTATTTTCTTGTTCCTGTGCCTTAAATTTAAATCAAGTAAAGACTAGTGTTAATTACAAATTGAGTCTTATTGACATTTAGTGACAGTAGGTTAATAGTAAACCATCTATTTATATCTTGGAAAAAAAAAAGCAATGGACCAAATATTGATCCTTGTGGGGCCCCATGCCTTATCACTCCCCAGTTAAAGCAAGAATCAAGCTGTAAGCTGTTAGAAGGTCACCAGCATTTTTGGGGAGTATACTTCTCCAATTTCCAATTACTGTGCTTTTCTTAAACGCAGCCTTATTTGGGGCCAACACTTGTTAATTTTTTCCTTGCTCCTGTTCTCACTGGGCTCCTTTATAGGGCTGTATCTCAACCAGGCTTTCTATGTGCAGCTTGCTCTGTTTACTCTTCAACCCTGAAGATGGAGGCAGTATGTTCCTGAGAAACTTCTGTTTTACTGCCATCACATCCCAAAATACTGTGCTATTCAAGACAATTGCCATTGATCTCATGGATCTTAGCACTTTAAGGGATAAAGAGATCTTCAGTGTTACCAGATTTACTGTTTGCTCTGTTGGGTTCTGCAGAGTACACATGAAATCTTGGCAGATCAAAAAATTATTAACTCAGGAAGTGTGATACATTTGACAATACGAAGGGGGACCCAAAAATTACCAGAAACGACCTGTTGCGTGCGCATGCTTTGTAGTTACGAGTTGTGCTGCTAGGTGGTGTTAGCTGGGGGTCTCCTGCGACTGTTAGTGAGCAGGCGTCAGTCTGAGTTAAGTGGTTTGCCTGTGGTGCTCTGTTGTGTGCGTTCCTGTTTCAACCCTTTGGCGATTAGTGAGATGGCCGACCAGAAGGAACAAAGAGTGTGCGTGAAATTTTGCTTTCTGTTAGGGAAAACTGCACTTCACTCTTCAAGTCGCGGCAAACATTCACGCGGTTTTCTCTTTGGTCATCTCCGAGCAAGCGAGGAACAAATTTTGCAGACACCCGTCTCATGTGCAAACCTTCGGTTAAAATTCGCTGGACTGTGCTCCATGAGATGTTCGTTTCCTCAGAAAGTTGGTCAATGGTCTTTCGACGATCTTCATCAATTGCACGTTTGATTTTGGCAATGTTTTCGTCATTTCTTCCTGTCGAAGGACGCCCGGGGCGTGGCATGTCTTCTGTTGACATGTTGCCAGATTTGAAACGGGAAAACCACTCGTAGACCTGTGATTTCCCCAAAGCATCATCATTAAAGGCTTGCCGAAGCATCCCAACAGTCTCGGCTGCAGTTTTCCCTAACAGAAAGCAAAATTTCACGCACACTCTTTGTTCCTTCTGGTCGGCCATCTCACTAATCGCCAAAGGGTTGAAACAGGAACGCACACAACAGAGCACCACAGACAAACCACTTAACTCAGACTGACGCCAGCTCACTAACAGTCGCGGGAGACCCCCAGCTAACACCACCTAGCAGCACAACTCGTAACTACAAAGCATGCGCGCGCAACAGGTCGTTTCCGGTTATTTTTGGGTCCCCCCTCGTACACTGAATGAAGTAGTGTAGGAGTTTATTGTTTATTGTTATTAAATAACTCCACAAATCCTGTACAGGGGCTTTAGCACCCATAGGATATAGAGCTAGTCAAACTTATACAATCTCATACAAAACATAAAAAGATACATGGTGTAACATTAAATCAAGCCATATCATAACA